TTACCAGCCTCCCTTGTTAAACCATTATGGAGCCTACATGTTTCATCCTTACCTTTTTACTACAGATATATTTGAAGAATTGCTTTGGGTTTCCTTCACTCTCTGTAGCAACCTGTTTTTTTGTAAGTTATCTTTGCTGCTCTGATTGCAGTCTTGCATTTTTTTGTTGGATTCCTTGTACTGTAGAAATGCCAGTGATGATCCTTCTGTCTCTATTTTAAAGAGCACCAGGCAAGAAACAAACTGGTAGTTGCGGTCTTTGGACAGATTTCCCTGTCTGTCCTTCTAATAATAGAGTCCCCTACAACCAGAATCTGTTTATCATTGCCTAAGCACCTGCTTCCATCCATACTGGAGCTGTCACTCATCTGGTAGCTAAAGGAGGTATTCTGCTCTAGCAATGCTACTCCTGAGTGGATCATCCCAATATTATGCAACAAAGCATAATTATTAGGATATATTAACTCAGGACAAGCCTCTCTAACGCTTTTCACTCTGCCCCATATACTGTATATAGCCACTGTTTTCTATACTGGCCCCAGCCAGCACCTGATGTGTAAAGTCCTGTAGCCAGCTGATCCTTTAGATCCAGGATCTAGGCTTCCAAATAAACTTGCTCACATCTTGCACAACAGTATTCACCTTCAAACAGTTTTTCAAGGAGTGAATACATGAAACAGGATGTACCTTGTGTTGCATTACCACTCTGTCTGCCATTAACCTAACCCTGAACCATTTTTGCATTTTTTTTCACACGTTATAATCCACATTTTAGGCCTGAGAATTACCTAAATCCCCCAGAATTATACAGTATATTTTCTGAAAGCAGAGATCCTGTAGAATAAAATGCTGACAGCTGCAAATGTCACATGATATTAGCGCAACTTTTTATCAAATTAAAAATTTCAGTTAAAAATACACTTAATTTTTAGAGTTAACCATGAATAATGGCTCTAAAATGATTTCTCTCATTTTGTTACCTGTGGCAATACCTAACATTGGGGGTGCAATAGACGCTTTTTGTACGTGGGCACACCTGACGCATGTTTGTGTTAGTATGTGCATATGGGTGAGGAATGTAAAAAAGTTGGGGATTCTTTAAATTTATTCTACTTAGCTTTCTTTTTTTTCCTTAATTGTTATCGCACAGAGGGGCTCGCAAGTGATGACAGTAAAAAAAAACACAGAACGGAAATGGAAATGTTTCAAATCAATTGTTTACAAACATACTGCAAAAAATATTCCTGTAAGCAATACGTTTAAAAGGATAAAGGTATAAGCCATGTGGCTCACATCCAATGTTGTTAAAAAAGCAATAGAGCATAAGAAAAGGGTGTTTAAAAAAATTTAAAAATGAAGGAACACTGTCGTTATTTGAAAGCTACAAAGAATACAACAAAATATGTAAAAAGGAAATAAAAGTCACAAAGATTCAAAACGAACGACGGTTGCAAAAGAGTGTAAGACAAACCCCTAAAAGTTCTTTAAATACATTAATAGTAAAAAGATCAGGTCTGAGCATGTTGGCCCCTTACAAGTAACTCAGAGTAACTGCCTCTTAATAGGCTCTATAGCCTACACCCTAAAGCCTCCAGTTCTGCTGCAAACCGATGCTGCTGGGACTCATATTGCACCAAGACTCAAGCAAATCACTACTCCGCGGCTTCTAAACGCTAGCAATCAGCCCAGTCTGGAGGATTCCCCTGTAGGAGCCTGAGTACAACTAAACAGCAAATATTTACTGCCATAGTTGATGAAATGCACACAACCCAGTATGACTTTTAAACGTGTGGTGTTAATCATCTATTACAAGTTGCTTCTGCTACTACATGCTTTTCAAGCTAATGCCATAACCTTGTGAGGAAAACTTTACACATTGACTATTACTAACTATTGTCTTCAGACAATTATCTTGTGGTGTGAAGATAACATTACAGACTGATTATTACTGTTTATTGACTTCAAACTAACAATGTGTGATGTGAGGAACATTACAACAGTTTTGTTACATAATGCTTCAATCCTGTCATGTGAACTGAACAATAGAATGAATTCAGCAGCATCACAATTTATTTTTCTTGTGATGTGATGCAAGCATTACCATTGATACAACCTTAGTTATAGAGACTGACATAATCTTGAAGTAAAATTTCTGTTGAAGAAGACTTCCGCAGCTGAGTTCCATCATTCATCATAAGAGGTATTGCAGAAAGATCAGCTGACCTGAATGTGTTCTCTCCGGAGAAGAGGCGATTAAGGGGGGACATGATCACCATGTATAAATACATAAATGGTCCATACAGTAAGCTTGGTGCCAGATTATTCACTTTAAGGTCACTGCAAAGGACAAGAGGGCACTCTTTGCATCTGGAGGAAAAGAGGTTTAAAATTTACATACGGAAAGGATTCTTCACAGTTAGAGCTGTGAAAATGTGGAACAGACTCCCCCAGGAGCTAGTTCTAGCTAGCTCAGTTTACTGTTTCAAAAAAAATCTGGATGTATTCCTAAATGCACAGAATATTACTGGACATTGAGCTTATAGATATATTAAGCACCAGAGACTGTTGATCTTGGGAATATCTGATTGCCTGAAGGGATAAGGAAGGATTTTTTTTCCCTTGTTGGGGCAAATTGAACCACGCTTTATAGGGGTTTTTTGCCTTCCTCTTGATCAACATTGTGTAACTATGGGCACAGCATTTCGTTTTAGGCTTGTTTTCCTTTTTTTTTCATATCTCTATAGGTTGAACTCGATGGACTTGTGTCTTTTTCCATCTGACTAACTATGTAACTATGATAGTCAGCTACCTGACTATTAGTAAATAAAAGTAAATCACCGGCACACACTTGAAGGGTTTTTAAAGTATTGATATGTTTATTCAATACCCAATGTCACATACTGTCATACGGTGCTAACGTTTCGGGTCCACACAGGGATCCTTCATCAGAGCGACAGTGACACAATGCATAGGTGAACATGCAGGTATAAATACACATCAATCCAGGTGAAAACAGACAGCCCTTGATGTACACGCTTTATAGGGGTTTTTTGCCTTCCTCTTGATCAACATTGTGTAACTATGGGCATAGCATTTTGTTTTAGGCTTGTTTTCCTTTTTTTTCATATCTCTATAGGTTGAACTCAATGGACTTGTGTCTTTTTCCATCTGACTAACTATGTGACTATGATAGTCAGCTACCTGACTATTAGTAAATAAAAGTAAATCACCGGCACACACTTGAAGGGTTTTTAAAGTATTGATATGTTTATTCAATACCCAATGTCACATACTGTCATACGGTGCTAACGTTTCGGGTCCACACAGGGATCCTTCATCAGAGCGACAGTGACACAATGCATAGGTGAACATGCAGGTATAAATACACATCAATCCAGGTGAAAACAGACAGCCCTTGATGTAATTCCTGCCAAAATAAAAAAGATAGACACACCCACATCAACACAGAATAATTCTATTAGTATTAAGTGCAAAAAAAAGGTAAACAAGAACTCTTTTCTTTTTTCAAAGGCTACATGTGTGCAAGGACCCCTGTCATTGGATCTACCTGTTGTCGATGCTGCAGCATCCCCAGTTGCCATGGTCACCAAATGTAGCGTGGAGAGCGCTGTCTGTTCCCCGTCGGACACAGCAATGAACTGCGCATGTGCCGGAGGCCGTAGATCCGCTCCCGGCATCTCCTCGTTGTTAGGATACAGTACGAGCGGCCGGGCTGTTATGCACAGCTGCTCCTCTGCTGGTAACAGACGGCAAGGGGGGAGGCTGAAAGAACAAAGTGGCGAGGCATCGGAAATACATAGGGTCAGAGGTCAACAGGCCACATATGAGAAAAAATGAATGCCAAATGAATAACATAGGATCAGGGGTCAACAAGCCACATATAAGCAAAAATACATAACAAGGCACTGAAACCAAGGGGGGGGGGGGCTCAATCAAAAAAGGGGGGTGAGAAAGAGGGGTAAAAGGCTAAAAGACCTTATTTGGTTTGGATGGTTAAGATTCATAGTAGATCCCTACAGTCAAGTATCTGGATAAATGGTCCTAAAGGTGTACAGGACATAAAGGAATGGAAATAGCATCAGTCCATAAGGAAGCATGTATAGGATATCGTACTGTTAAGTCCCCTGGGATGCATGGTCTCTAAAGTATGTATCCAAAACGCTTCCCTGCGTAGTAGTGCGTTGTTATGGTTGCCACCCCGGGGGGGTTTAGCACCTGTTCTATTACCATCGCACGTAGTTCATGTACCTGGTGACTGTGCATGGCAAAATGTATGGTGACCGGTTTGTTGGGGTCCATTTACCTCCCATTCTTTTTTTGTTCTATGGCCAATTTGATATAGTTTTTGTGCTTCTGATATCTCTTTTTAAAGGCGTTAATTGTCTTGCCGACATACACTAATGAACAGGGGCACTTCAAGACATAAACACAGTGGTCGGTATTGCAGTTATAGTAGCCAGGGATCACATACTTCTTGCCCAAATGTGGGTGCATAAATGAGTCCCCCACTATAATGGAGTTGCAGATACTGCAATTGAAGTATTTGAAGCACCCTTTTCTAGTGGAGAAGTTAAAGCCCTGGGTTGAGTACTTATCTATCGGATCCGCCTTAACTAAGCGGTCTCGAATAGATTTGTTTTTGGAGAAGGTGACCCGTGGTATCTGTTTTACAGTAGGGGCTAGTGTCCTATCAGCCTGGAGAATGCCATTATTTCTACCCAGAGTTCTCCCAATGTCACATGTCTCAGAATTGAATGTAGTAATAAATGTGGTCTTATCCGCACTAGTACTGGTTTTGGGTGTGTGTAGTCTTTGTCTCGCACATTCCATGTGCGTTTCAAAATGTCCTCAGGGTATCCCCTTTCACGAAACTTGTGGTGCATAGCCCTGAGTTGGACCGCACAGTCATCATGGTCTGAACAAATGCACATAACTCTTAGGAACTGAGATATCGGAAGAGTGTCTTTCAGTCTACCAGGATGTGTGCTTTGGTAGCTAAGGAGTGTGTTGCGGTCTGTGGCTTTGCTATAGAGGGTAGTGTCCAGGCAGTCATTCTTGACCGTTATCCTTACATCGAGGAAATAAATCATGGTATGCGATATCTCAGGGTTAAAAACCCTTTAACAATGGAATTTAGGAATGACACAAACGTATGCACAGCGTCCTGCGTACCTGTCCATATAACAAAAATGTTGTTGATGTACAGTATCTGACCCACATTTTCACCCATTTAAAGTAATCCAATGGAAAGATATGCTCCTCCTCCATTAGTCCAACAAATAGGTTCGCATAGGAGGGGGCAGCAGAGCTTCCCATGGCCGTGCCTTTTTTTTGCAGATAAAAACCTTTCTCAAAATGAAAATAGTTATTGTCCAATATTAAATGTAAAAATTCGATCAAAAAATCAGTGGGTGGTTCAGCCACAGTCCTTTTGTGAAGAAAATGTTGTGCCGCTCTTAGCCCCAACTCAGTGGGGATGCATGTGTATAAGGACGAGATGTCCATGGTAAGCAGGATCCAATCTTCCTGGACTTCCCCCACATCTCTCAATTTTTCCAGGAAGTCACCGGTGTCTCTTACATAAGATGGCAGTGATTTAACAAGTGGTTGCAGCTAACTGACTATCTCCACCCCCAGTGGCGTAACCAGAGTAACGGGCGCCCGGGGCAGAACAAAATTTTGCGCCCCCCCCCCCTGTGATATGTGCGGGTGTACAGGTAAAATGAGAGCATGCTGGGACATATCATAATTGAACTACAAGTCCTAGCATACCCTCATTGTCCCGCTACACCCCCCAAAATATTACAATCAACTGGTTATCATGGCAAGTGGGACTTTTTTTTTACCTTAATGTAGAGAATGTAATAAGGTAAAAAATGCCCAGCATTTAATACTACTTTAAGGTCTGTACATATAGAGCATTTAGTCTGTAATTGGATATAAAGCTGGCTTAAAGAAAAACTTTGGGGGTACACCTTTTTTTGCATTTTTAGTTTCCTTATGATACAGGAATACATTTTGTAATATACTCCTGTAATCAAAAATGCACCATAAGGTTAAAATTCAGTGTAATATATTCTGTGCGGGGGCTAAGCTCTGTGCTGAGAAGAATCCAGTTTATCAAACCCAACATTTCAGTTAAATTGCCTTTAATTTGATTTGAATGCAAATCAACACAATATAATACCCAATTGCCTACTGAACCTATTGCCTCGGCCAAGGCTTTGAAATGCCAAAGTGCTGAGATTGTTTCTGGGATTTTACAGGTAATACAGACGGTTTGAGGAAGGATTTGCCAATATTGCCCTAACCCTCAATGAACTTCTGAGGACCGAGGGAGAGGAAGATGACTTAAAGCCAGCAGACCATGTCCTGTACTTCCTCACAACTGCCAATCTAAATGCCATGAGGTATTGGTGGTTAGCTGTTTTGACCAAGTTTGGCTTCGGTCTGAAATAGTGACTAGGAGTTGGAAACAGAAATGCTGAAGACTTGTCCAGAAGACCTCACAATTGTGAAGCCTTGGGAGAGGAATAAACTAGGCTGATTCTGGAAGGAATGCAGGCCCTATGCCAGGGGGTGTGACATCGAGTCAGAGGAGCTACAGGGACTGAGGACATCAGGGTCATTGATGCAGGTGTCCCAAAGCTCTACTGAAATCTAGCTCAGGTGAAGGATGGAGGTCTGCCTACTCTTAGTAAGAAAGACCAAGCTGAGGACCCTCTTTGTTGTCTGGCTTTGAATGCCTTAAATAGCCATTGGCTGGGGCTTTTGCTGACAGATTCTCCAGAACAGGCCAGACTGATTCATAAAGAACGGAATTAGTTGCAGCTTCATGATGGGTGATGATCTAATGAAGGGCCACCACATGCAATTCCAAAGACATGTGGCAGTTATTCCTTCCTGAGAAGCATAGAGGCACTGTATTATTGGCTTTACACAATAAGCATTATTACCTGGGACCAGAAAGAGCTTTTAAACTTAGGGATCAGTTCTCCTGGTTCTGTGTAAGGACTGAAGTTGAGAATTGCTGTCATTCCTGCTTATGGTGCATACAGAGGAATTCCAGAACTGCCCCAATGGGCCATCTCCAAAGCCAAGGAATTGGTGTGCACCTGTGCTTGGAATCTGATACAAATGGACAAGGGAACATCTTTGTGGTGATTATCCACTATACCCAGGCTTTTCTGACTAAAGGTCAAAGAGTTTCAACTGTGGCCAAAGTTCTGATGGAAATGTTCATTGTTTATTATAGGAAAGTCAGGAAATCACCAGCACTCAGTAGTAAAGATAAATATGTCCCTTTTATTGGACAGAAAGCGTCGCAGACATCCAAATAAACCGACGTTTTCGGGGCCGCGCAGGGTCCCTTCCTCAAGGCGGAAAGATGTGACGTCACAATTTCCTGTGTTTGCACGGCACCATCCGTGGTAATTCATCACTGCGAGCACCACTTTTTTCTTATCTGGCCGGGACTGCTGTGGGGAGTGCAGAGGGTCTCTCCATCGACTTACATTGTTTATTATAGACTACCTCAAAAGTCTCAGACCGAGGCAGAGACTTTGAAAGCAGACTCATTAAGCAGTTGTTAGGCCTGTTAGGAATTGTGAATTCACCGACAACCCCCAATTATCCACAAGGAGACCCACAGCCTGAGCAGTTTAATTGCACACTTCTTAAGATGTTTGGGACTCTCATGATGGAGAAGAAACAGCATTAGAGCAGATACATCTCAGAGTTTGTCAATGCATATAATAGCACAGAGATTTATGAAAAAGGGTACTCTCCTTATATGCTCATTTTCCAGAGAGAGGCTCGACTGGCAGTGTATTTGGCCTAAGGTAATTTTGGCTGGTCGGATGTAGGCTGCATCTCATAAATGCCGTGTAGACCAGTTCCAGAAGATTTTAAAGATTGCCTATGAAAAGGCTCAAGTTTCTGACATCTGAGGTCAGAGAAACAAGAATAACCATGACTTGAGAATTTGGGTTTAAGATCTGCAGCCTGGAGATCATGTGCTGTTAAGGAATCTGGGTCGCCATGGAAAGCAAAAGCTAGATGACTTGACTGATGGAGCTCCCAACTTTAAATCAACTGTGCTCAATTACCTGTCTTTCTGTATACCAGATTCACCTAGAGGTGAAGACAAGGCCCCTGACATTGAAACCATCTATTGCCACTAAGAGATGCTGTCTGAGTGCTTTCACCAATAGATCCGATATTCAGCTGAATTAATCTGACTCATTTACGAAGGACTCAGCGATAATTGCCTGCACTACCCAGACCTGTTGATTTCGACATAGGAGTGTCTGAAGATAATGAAAACAATGAGTGGGGGTTTAATCTAGGGCTCAGTGGGTTATGACCAGAGGGATCTACAGACACTAGTACAAGAGATGGTGATCATCCAAATCAGTAGGGAGCTGATACTCCAGACTTCCCACCACAGGTCAGACAGGAGGAAACACAAAGAAAAAACAGAAAAAGACATTGATTGAATCAGCCAGAGAGGTTGAAGTACCCTCCACAACCCTTCAAGCCTGTTAGGGAGGCCTCCAGAGAGCAGAGGGTAAAGAGACAAATACATCCCCCTAAAATACTAGCTTATGATACAGTTCTGAAGAGGTAATCTCCACTTTGCACAGATTTCTTGATGCGTAGGTAGATCTAATCATTGTACCAGTGGATGAAAATCTCAGACCATTACCTGACACATGGTAATGGGAAGTTCTGCTGCCCACACCAATTGTAAATACATATTACCTTGTTCCATTTCAGTGTTAATTTAGTTTATTTAGTTGTAGTTGGGGACCAAAGACTTTAGTGAGGAAAGCATGTAGTCCAGCTACCAGGCTTCTGGCCCTTAAAGCAGTGCAACAGAATGATTCTTCTGGCAACTGGTCATTGATCCTTCCCTGCCAAGAGTAAAGAAACACAGAGAGAAAAGAGGAGCAAAATATGAGGCGTATTGCCTGCAGTTGCAGCCTGGAACTAAGCCAGTACCTATCAGCAGAGAGAAGATCGCTCTTTGGCTGGTGGACTTTACTCCCACCCACTGGCGCCAGGACTGTGGGAAAAGTGTGTCAAGGGTAGGATGAGTGGTGGTCATCTTGGCAAGACCAAAAGGAACCAGCACTTCTACTGGCTGCAAAAACTCAGTTTCTATTCTTTGGGGACCAAAGACTTTGGTGAGGAAAGCATGTAGTCCAGCTACCAGGCTTCTGGCCCTTAAAGCAGTGCAACAGAATGATTCTTCTGGCAACTGGTCATTGATCCTTCCCTGCCAAGAGTAAAGAAACACAGAGAGAAAAGAGGAGCAAAATATGAGGCGTATTGCCTGCAGTTGCAGCCTGGAACTAAGCCAGTACCTATCAGCAGAGAGAAGATCGCTCTTTGGCTGGTGGACTTTACTCCCACCCACTGGCGCCAGGACTGTGGGAAAAGTGTGTCAAGGGTAGGATGAGTGGTGGTCATCTTGGCAAGACCAAAAGGAACCAGCACTTCTACTGGCTGCAGCTGCAATGTTCAACTTCACCCAGCATGACCTTTCATTTGGCCTTTGAGGGACTAATCAAGGACAATGCCTGTGGTGACAGGCACTTTGCCCTTCTGAGTTTATTATGCTTGCCAAAATCTGCTTGAGTCCTCCAACTGAAGAACCATGGCCTCAATGTTGGCCCATCTGAGTTTATTATGCTTGCCAGACTCTGCTTGAGTGCTCCAACTGAAGACCCAGGGCCTCAATGTTGGCAAAATATAGACATAGACCCACTGGCCAGTGATATAGGCATGCTATATACATAGGGCTCTTGTTATTCCCAGTAGTATTTAATGTTATAACTACAGTTATATTTGCTGTTGTGCTATTGTTTGTTTTAATACCCCATTTATGCAGGACTTCTATCCTGCATTTAATAGAGCCCACCCTACACTTCTTGGTATGTGAGGAGTTTGGTAACAGTTAAGGTGGGTCACGCTGTGAGTGGCAGAAGGACCTATCTATCAAGCGGCTTCAACATGATTATCACTACATGCAAATATAAAAAAGCAAAATGCTTATTTGAACTTACGTGATGTTCATACATCTCCTT